CTCTCTCCATGACATGGTGACCAGATACAGTCCTCCAGGAGTGGTCCCACCAGAGCACTAACTATATAGAGGACCCAGGTTCAATTCTCAGGGCAGTGAAACCTTAGGCAAGTGTCCTTACTCCACGCGCCTCTCAGAGTAAGTAGGAACCCAGTTGTTAGTCGATTAGCAGATCACTTTCCAGGGGTAATAATTACTCAAAATAAATAAATAAGTTTGGTAACTCAATCCATGACTGCTTGTGGGACACGGCTATGCGCAATTGGCTGCTGCAATCTGCTAATCGACTTACAACTGTGTTCCTACTTACTGCCGGTAAACAGAGGTGTATGGAGTAAGAAAACTTGTCTAAGGTTTGCCCTGCGTGGGAATCGAACCCAGGTCCTCTCGCTTGTGAGGCGAGTGCTCTAACCACTACACTGTGGGACTCCACATTATTATCAGACTCTTCACACTTGTACTGAACATTCACATGAGTCAGAAATAAAAGGAAACCGAAAAATAGTTTGGGAGAGAGCTAACGTTACAGTCAGACCAGTTAACGTGACTGAAATTTTTGTTGGCTAATATATTGTAAATGCTTTACGCAAGACATAGGGGGCGACAGTGAGGTGAGGCACAGTGACATTACTGGGAGAAAGAAAACTTATTTCTCAAAATGTTGTTCACTGATTTAATGGCCTTACAAGATGATGTAACCGCTTCTAACAAAGAAACTTAAATTATATTGTTATAGTTAGTGCAGCTATTACTCGTCACTAACCAGAAGTCAGAAGGTTGTGGGTTCAAACCCTACGTTGGGACTTAGAATCACATTGTCAAAGCTGACGCTCCAATGGAGTCCTGGGGGTTGTTGCATTGTCAGAGATGTCGTCCTTCGGATGAGACGTTAAACCGAGGCCCCCTCTGCCTGTTCAGGTGGATGTTAAAGATCCCGCGGGGCTGTTCAAAAAGAGAAGGGAGTTTCTCTCTCTCCCGGTGTCTTGGACAACAATCCCCCAAATAAAATCCGTCACTTGTTTCGTGGCTGTTTGTGGGACACTCCTATGCACAAACTGGCTGCTGTGTTTTGCCCACAAAATACACCGTCAAACCATTTTCCAGCAAATCCTGTGAAGCGCTTTGAGACGTCTTGACAATGTGATACGGTGCTTTGTCAAAATTGCAACGATTATTATTATTACTCCCAAATTCTCTCACAAACAGTTGCGCGGTTCAAACCCACGGAAGAATTATGCTCTGTTAGACAATAAAAGAAAAGTTGCAACACCCTATCATGAGATAAAAGACAGCTTGGCTAAGCATGAGATAAAACATTCCTCCTATTATCTCTAGTTGGGTGTCATTAAGTTTTACAGTGCTTTTATTTACAATCTCTTGTAGTCTTTGATCTTCTAATTCTGAATACAAGTCCAGTAATCTCCAATAAAAACACATTTATCTTAGAATTGTTGCTTCTTGAACAGTCTGATAACAGTGGGGTGAAGCAATTTGTTTTGCAAGATTACTTTTGTGCTTTACAGACTTCACTGAGTCACCTGGTTTCACACTGAAATGGAACCAATTTTCGTATAAAGGGAGAAAAACAACAATTCAGCTGAAAACCGCAGCCTGACAATGAAGAAAAAGTAAAGTTAATAATAATAATCCTTGCGTTTGATATGTGCCTCGTCATGTCGTTGAGACTTCACAGAATATACTGCAAAGTGAATTGACTGTAAATTGAAGCATGGCAGCCAATTGCACACAGCAGTGTCCTGCAAAGAGTCGTACATTGAGTGACCCTATTTTTTTAAAAACATAGCCTAAGATGACACTCCAATTGTTAGAGGCGCTGTTCTTAGGATAAGAAGCTAAACCAAACCCCTGTCTGTGTTCTGTTCAGACAGACTATGATAAAAAAAGTTAACTATGGTTAAAAAAAGGCAAACGTATGAATATGGTAATTAGGACAGTACTGGCATGAGGATACCATGCCAGTACTAGATATTACTATCTATATATATATATATCTATATATATATATCTATGTCATGATAGCTCCTCTATCATGATGGGCTTTTGGTTTAAGAAACTGCATTCAATAACTTTCCAATTTATTGATCAGATGGCCTTGTTTTTGGCCAAGCTTTCCCACTGCTTGTCCAGCCAGGACCCCCCTCCCCGTTAGTTAGGGCTTTGGCTGTGGGGTTACCAGGAGCTGAGGGGGGGGATTCCCTGCCCCCAGTGACTGGTCGGCCCTTCCAGGTCGTGCTGATGAGTCGGGCCGGACTGTGCCCTGGGACACTGCGGCCCCTCCAGGCTCAGGAACCGGACTAGAGACCGGCACAGGGTGGGGGCTCGATTCCTACATTCCATTACCAGGCAGGTCACCCTGGGGCCAGTTCAGCTCAGAGGAGACTCCGCTTATCCCCCCACCCCCAAGGAGGACAGTCACTAGTTGGTCCTTTGACATCCGCCAAGCATGGGTTTGAGCCTCACTAGGTGGGTGGGAGGTACCAGGATCTCCCTGCGAGCTTCCCGGCGGGGAACCTCAGCATAAATGTGTGAGAGCACCGTCTTCCTGTGCACGAGCTGAGCCGAGAGCAGGGAGCCCCTGAAGGCAGAATGACCTGAAATGTGACCTCAGACTCTGTTTCGATTAATCAATCAGTGAATTTCACTGGGCCAACAGTCGAGGGGAGCTTCACCGACCGCCGAGGGTCAGATCTTCTTGTCTAAAAATAGCCCAACACAGTCATTGTGACGTAACAGCCACTTAACCAATGGAGACATATGAAACGTATCTGATGATCATCAATCTCATTGTGATGTGCAATGCTGTCATTTCACTCCTGTGTTATTTTTCAGTGGATTAAGTTGCAAGCACGTGATCAGAATGGAGATTTTATATTGGTTCGGTGTCTGCAGGTATGGTCGGCAGTTTTGTTGTGGATTGTATTTTATTTTCCCCGCTGGGTTTCTACTTTCGACTGGGAAGCAGAGCAGTCTGGGTTTGCACGACGTTTTATTTTGTGGGCGAAAAGCTGCTTAAAACCATTTCACCCACGAAATATACAGTCACTACACTTTATAGCGTATTCTGTGAAGCGCTTTGAGGCGTCTCAACAACGTGATAAGGCGCTATATTAAATGAAAGGATTATTATTATGATGACAGAATTTACAATGGATTTATGGCATGGTATTAGGGAAACTGCCATTTTATTTTGGACCTCAAGATAAGTCATCCTTCTACAACTGTGCTCCAGTTTAAAGATGGTTAAACTTGAGGTGAACCTTTCGTGGGCAAATTTGATTTGTTTTTATCAATTTAATTTGGTTTAAATTAATATTGTTGTGTACTTACTTATGTACGTACTTGTTAATTTTATATTGTTATATTCGACTTGTTCTACAGCGGAACAGGCTCGATGGGCTGAATGGGCTCCTCCTGTCCTTGTTTTCCTATCAATGGTTGAATATTACCCAAACCGGGTTTGCAATGAACAATTGCCAATTGTGGCCAATTGTGTGTTGTATTCATTTAGTGTTGATAAAGAACAAGTATCGTGACGTACGGTAACTATAAACTGTTTGAATTCATTGAAACAAGTAAGCAGTGGTAAAGTGATATCAACGGCACGCTCGGTGAGTTTAGCTGGTTAGACTCCAACAATTACCCCAATGCACACTCTGAATTAGGTAAGCGGGATATGTCCCTCCAGAGAGAGAGAGATTGTTCCATTCCAACAATCTCTCTCTGGGATTTCCATGTGAGAGTGGGAAGCCTGGAATTCTCGGTTCGGTTTGGAAACTCTTAAGCATCGGTTTTGGGTTTCCGCGTGTGGTCAGACACCCGGCGGAGCAAAAAATAAAAATGTAATTGATTTAGAGCTGTCATAAGTCTATGCCCTGTTTGAAGTTTGTCTTATTTTTCCTCCCAGTGGCTGAATGGTCGGAGCCAAGGGCTGCAACACCCAAAACACTGATGTTTTGGGATCCATATAATATACAATTATCAATTGTCTAGGAACCCAGTGGAAGTAAGTATACTCTCTCTCACTTTTTATAGAATAGCCAAAGGGTAATGGGAGATTTTGTACTTTTGTATAACTGACTGACAAAGAGTTTAGAAAGATTTTGGACTTTCGATCTGAACACAGCAAAACGTTTGTTATATATCAAATGCAAGGATTATTATTATTATTATTTTTATTGGATTTCAGAACAGTCGAGGACCAAATAAGTATACGGGAAGGGAGGATGAAATTTAAGTTCAAGTTCCCTAAGTACATTTTTCTAAACAACAAAGTTGGCCATATTATTATAATAATTATTTATTGTAAAAATATTATTTAATAATAATTCTTTACTATAATCATATTATATTTTAAGAATATGTATTTATAATAAGTCTGGTACAGTGATCCACTTCCAATGTAGCTCTCTTTAGCCAGAGGGAAAATGTTACAAGGGCAATGGATATGCTGTTAAACTAATTTTACAATCAAGCATTGTAAAAAAAATGTTTACTTGTAAAATTAGATTGATGATACAATTTATAATGAAATGATAACTAAGTTCACACAAGGTCTTCCTGACAGTTAAGAGCTGAGACGCTGTAGTTTATTGTCAACACAAAAGCGTAGTTTTAGTTTCATTAATTCTTTAGAATAAACAGGACTTAATAAATTGACAGACTAACATAGACACAAATTCAGTCGCCTCTTGGTGTCCATGGCAGCAGTTGGGATGCATTGATAGTTTAATGAGGGTTAAACTGTCTCTGAAGGTTGTCTGTCAACCTCAAGCCCCATGGAAACAGTCAACAAACTACTTGCTCCTCGGAGAAGGCAAAAAAAGTTGGTGAAAGCAGCAATGAGTGTGAGGCGACAAGCAAGGTGAATGATTTACTCGATGATTGGAAATTGAGGCACTTTTGTAGGTGTCACTTCAGTTAGAGTCACACAGACATGAGCTGGTGCTGGAAGGTGGAGCATGGAGCATAACCTCGGGTAAATGCTGCTCTCGATTGTCATGCCATACGCTAGAAGTAAGTGCTTTGTCTCGGGGTAAGTAATTGATGAATCAAGCGTTAAGGGAAGTGTATTGTAAGTACTGCACTGTGTTTCGTGAAGAAGATTTTGATCTTTGCTTTAAAAAAATTGGACTCGTGTGTTACGATTTTCTGAGGTTTAAGTCACCAATGTTTTAAATTATTAATGATATAATAATAATAATCCTGGCATTTGATATGACGTCTTATCACATCGTTGAGACGTCTCAAAGCGCTTCACAGAATATACTGTAAAAGGAGTTGACTGTATATTTTGTGGGCGAACAACGGTAGCTAATTGCGCACGGCAGCGCCCCACAAACAGACGTGGATTCAGTGACCGAATTATTAGATTTTGATTCTGGACTTCAGATACTCTGTGAGAGAGCAACATTACCTGTTACATCCATGTGAATCCACATTACATTGTGACATGCAGAAGCTGTTGTATCTGTATTTATACATCAAATTTTACAAACTATGAAAAATACACGCTTGTTAGTCGATTGGCGGATCGCTTTCATAATAATCCCTTTTTGTCATTCAATCCATGACTGTTTGTGGGACGCTGCTGTGCGCAATTGGCTGCCGCGTTTCATCCTCAAAATACACAGTCAATCCATTTTACAACATATTCTGTGAATCGTGTTGAGACGTCTCAACGATGTGATAAGACGCTATACTAAATCCAAGGATCTTTTTTTTTAAGTGTTTATTACCCCAGAAAACGATCCACCGATTGACCAACAACCGGTTCCTAATTACTGCTAGTTAAACAGAGGCGTGCGGAGTAAGATTACATGGAGATTAATCAATAGATGTGATGGGTTATCAGGCCAGAATGCTGTACTCGATTAAGAGACATTTGTTGTGGTTACAGGAGGAGGGTGTGGGAGAATTCTAGATGGATGAGACCTTGTGAAGGCAAATCTCAAGCACAATGACCTACCTGAACTGATGCGATAGTGAAGTCAATGTCTTTGTCTTTTCCAGCTAAAAAGATGTCGGCTTGCTGTGATGCTAGGGCCCGTCAGAATGAGAAAGCTCAGCTACAGGAACTGAACGACCGCCTCCTCCATTATGTCCAAAATGTAAAGAACATGAGGGATCAACTCTCAAAGGTACCGAACTGAAACCCCCTTTATACCTGGTCAGAGCTTTCTTCGTAGTTTCCGTTTACTCCTCGTAGCTTAACGGTTAGAGCAGTCGAAACCAAGAGGACCCGGGTTTGATTCCCAGGCAGGACGAAGCGTTAGGCAAGTTTCCTTACTACACATGGCTCTGTTTGCCCAGCAGCAAGTAGGAACCCGGTTGACAGTCAATTGATGGATATATAAATGCAAGGATTATTATTATTATATATATATATATATGTTTCTAAAAAGAGCCTTTCATCAACAACATATGCTGCTGTGGGTAGGATTCCAGCATACACAAGAACACTAAAGCACAAAATATTTTAAACCAATAGCGTCCTGGGTGACAGCCTTGAGTTTCATCCTTACATTAGCAAAATGTTCTCCATTCCTTAACCCACCCAGACTCCCAACATGAGATCTCCCAGTGTAAGAATCGCCAGTGCATCTCATACCCACTAACAGTAATTGCCTCAACAACGTTTGGAAAGTCTAAACAATATGCATTTCTAACAGTAATATTATTCAGGATTACCCAACAGACAGTAAGTAATGTTTCAAAATCCTTCAGAAATGTGCCAGGAATATGTCAGAGGTGTGTGAGGATGTGTGGAGGGTTCCAGCTTAAATAACGTCAGTTATTTTCTCATGTTAGAAATATTCAAATGCTCATTTCCATTAGGCAACATGTATTTTGTTGGTGACAGTCTGTCTGACGAGGTTATTAAGAGGGTCTCTGTGGCTTTTTCCAGATGTCAGCTTGATGAGCAATCATTCTGGCAGTTCAATTAAACACCAGTTTGGAATTAATAGCTCCACATTTGACAGCAGAGGCTTGAAACAAAATCATCACAATCACTTATGTAGTGCAATGATTGTTTGTCTATTGGGATTCCAGATTTACATAAATATTGGAATTAAATTGCAAAAAAAGATTAACTGTATATTTTGTGGGAGAAACGTGGCAGTCAAGTGCACACTACTACAGTAGTGTCTCACTGTTGGTGAGACACTACTGTGTGCACTTGACTGCCACGTTTGTCTATTGGGTGACCACATTATTATTTTGAAAAAAAAGTTTTTGGAGGAATTATTAACCCCAGAAAGCAATCCGTTAATTAACTAACACTTGGATTTCTACTTACTGCTGATAAGCAGAGGCGTGTGGAATAAGGAAACTTGCCTAAGGTTTTGCCCTGGTCGGGATTCGAACCCAGGTTCTCTCGAGACGATAGCCCTGAACCGCTGAGCAACAAGATTCCTTGTTATTCTCTGTTATTATGTATCTTGTTTTCCTTCTGATAAGCCGCTAGGGTTTATTTGGCTTCTGATTAGAGGAAGGTGACTACGGGTTCCTGATCCTAGAGTGATGCTGAGGTTTGCCTTTCATTCCTCTCTGTCACAGCAGCACTTGAGTGAGTTACTGCACCTTTGCCACACACTCACTACACCTCCAGCATAAACAACCTCAGCAGCTGTACAGAACAGAAATAGGAATCATTGCGGTGTATCACCACCAATGTAGGTTTCCCTTTATGTCACAGCCAACAAATACAGAATTGTCGATTTATTATAATAATGATAATAATCCTTGCATTTGACATATTGCCTTATCACATCGTCGAGGATAAATCCACGACTGTTTGTGGGATGCTGCTGTGCACCATTGGCTGCTGTGTTTCGCCAACAGAACATATGGTCTATTCACTTTACAGTCAATTCCGTGAAGCGCTTTGAGACGTCTCAATTATTATTACTATCTGTCTGTGTTGGATTCAAATCCAGGTCTTATACATAGAAAAAAAGATGCTAACTGTGCCACTGAGAACTTTATCTAACGTACTGTCCTGGCTTTACTAACTCTATATGATGCTGCTCTCTGTGTAGGTTGATAAATGTGCTGAGTTGAATCGGATCTGGGACATGGAAGAAGAAATGCTCTCTATTCGCAACATGTATAACAGTGAAATCCAAGTCCTTCGCGACCAGCTGGAGCAGAACTGCAAAGAACGGATGCAGATTGAAATTTGCAACCACAAAAACTCACAGCTAATCGCTGAATTCAGAGAAAGGTTGTATACATTCACAAAATATCCCAGGATAGAATAAGAAAGAAGTCATAATAATAATTTGGAATAATTACTTGAGTCACTCAATCCACGGCTGTTTGTGGGACGCTGCTGTGTGCAATTGGCTTCCGCGTTTCGCCCACAAAATATGCAGTCAATTCACTTTACAGTATATTCTGTGAAGCGTTTGAGACGTCTCGGAGACGTGATAAGGCACGATATCAAATGCAAGGATTATTAATATTGTAGGAAATAAAGAAATGAATGTGAGAGTTGTTACGGTCTGGAATACACTGTCATAACGGGTGGCGGAAGCAGTTTCGATTGTAGCTTTCAAAAGGGAAGTGAGTGTGCTTGGCGGACTGCTGTGAACAAATTCTTTTTGAAATTTTTTTTTATAAAAGGAGTTATTACTCTCGGAAAGCGATCCGCCAATCGACTAACAACCGGGTTCCTACTCACTGCTGGGTAAACAGAGGCGTGTGGAGTAAGGAAACTTGCCTAATGTTTTGCCCTGCCCGGGAATTGAACCCGGTTCCTCTCGCTTCAGTTAATAACATCTAGTTAGAGCTCTTACAAATAAATTATTTATGCTTGTTACCTCATGCCAAATTAAATGCGAACAGTATAAATTCGGGTCAATGGGTCTTTATTTGTTCACGAGAAAATTTTAACAACCTTTTGAAAAATAATTGAAGGATACACAGCAACTGAGCACAATTAATATCTTCAGGATAAAAGGCTAATTTCCTTAATACATGAGACCTGCCGGTCAAAATATTCTTATGTATTTGACTTCCTGAAGGAACCAAAACGTAACTGTATGATAATAATATAAATACGAATCCTTGCATTTGATTGGGACGTCCTCCCGGTGTGAAAAGTGCTATACTAATGTCATTTTGTTGTTGTTATTGATACAGCGCCTTATCATGTCTTTGAGACGTTTCAAAGCGCTTCACAGAACACCCTGTAAAATGAATTGACTGTATATTTTGTGGGTGAAAAGCGGCAGCCAATTGCGCACAGCAGCGTCCCCACAAACAGTCGTGGATTGAAGTGACCAAATTATTATTATTTATTTCAATGTTATTTATTTGATGTGCTTTGTTTGGGTGTAGTGTAATGGCGCTGAATGCATGCATTATGCAGAAGGATGAAGAGAAAAAGAAACTGGAGGTTCTTCTGGTCCAGAAAGAAGCAGAGTTGAAGGAGATCCAAGATAATACAACAAGCTGCATACCACAGTTGGAAGTAGCCAGTCGAGAACTTGAAATTCTACACAGGAACATTGCAGAAATCCAAGCGAAGTAAGACTACCCTTCTCTAAAACATGTAGCTATACAACATAATCCTTAATAATCCTTGCATTTGATATAGCGCCTTACCATGTCTTCGAGACGTCTCAAAGCTCTTCACAGAATAGACTGTAAAGCGAATTGACTGTATGTTTTGTGGGCAAAATGTGGCAGCCAATTGCGCACAGCAGCGTCCCACAAACAGTCGTGGGTTGAGTGCCTTAATCAGTACGCTACAGGACTCTCTGATTAAAATTGATCAAGTGTAAAAAGCAATATGTGTATCTGGAAGTTGGGAGCAGACATTGGGGCTGGGCTGAGCTGTAAATCTTTCTGTATCCAGCGTTTGTAAAGAATTGTTCTTCGTACAGTAAAACTCGCATAAGTCTGATCTGTGTAAATCATATAATCGCCAAAGTCATACATCTGCCCAAGTCCCGCTGAATTTCCTATACTTATGCAAGTTTCACATAACTCATTACTTTGCATATATTAAGTCATATTAAATAGATGGTTCCAACTGATATGACTTGTGAGAGGTTTACTGTAATAGAGGAATGCAATTTCTAATGTAGACCAGACTTACGGGAAGATAATCTCTCCTCCATGACAGATCTGAAACGGGCCATTGCAATCTGAGAGGAGACTCTCCACAGCACAGACCTGCCCTTGTTTGGCATCATTCAGCACCAAACCTCCACATTCTTGTTGTTAAAAATGAGAGTTAAGGCCACGTAACAACACTTTCAAAGCAACACCAATGGAATAGCACGAGTGCCGGGCATTCCTCAATGCAGTTTAGTTTGGTAGACAGGCTGATTTTGCTGCTGATAGCAGAAGCGTAGCAGTTGATAGATATTGTGGAGAGATCTTTTAAGATCTGCTATAGTGTCCCTCTGTGTTCGAGAACCATCTTCTCCTTCTTCACACTTACTAGCCATTGTCACGATAAATAATCCTTGCATTGGCATTTGATTTGGGTGGGACAGGCTTCATAGACTGAATGGCCTCTTTTTCTTGTTTCCTGTGTTCCTAATTGCAGCTGTATAATCATCTAAAGATCAAGGATTGCTGGAACAATAATAGTAAAATAATAATCCTTGCATTGGATACAGCGCCTTATCATCTCGTTGAGACATCTCAAAGCGCCTCGCAGAATATCCTATAAAGTGAATTGACTGTGTATTTTGTGGGCGAAACGCGGCAGCTAATTGCGCGCAGCAGCGTCCCACACACAGCCGTGGATTGAGTGGCCACATTTTTTTAAATTGAAAATCAACTTCAACAGTTTCATAGGGTTCCTTATACCAGAGGCACAAGCTTCAGTCGTGCGTGTTGGAGCAGTATGTGTTCGAGTTGTCTGTGTTACAGCTACAGTTGTCAACATATTGGACTTCTCTCAGTCTGTTTCGAGCTCCTGACTGATTTAACAACCAGTCTTGACTCCAGATCTGATGACAAGCAGAAAATTTTCTTCAACTAAACTAACATACGTGATAAGATTGTGCTGGTAAGTTAATGTGTTCTCTCCAGCACAGACCACTAATTGTTACTGAGTCCAGATTCCAGACCTGTTAAAGATAAAAGAGAGAACACTGTTGGATGCTGTGTCTAAAGAACTTAAACCTGGAGTCACTAATACTGTGGTTATGCTGCTTGTGAAAAGCAGCTTTCCTGTTAAAGAAGCAAGGACTGGTTTCAGAGTTCTGTCCATACACTTGTGGAGTCCTGTAGCTCAGTGGTTAGAGCACTCGCTTTGCAAGTGAGAGACCTGAGTTCAATTCCAGGCAGAGGGCCAAACCTCGGGCAAGTTTCCTTACTCCACACACAGAGCCTAATAATAATCCTCCAAAACAAAACAATAATAAATTGGTCATTTTCAATCCATGACTGTTTGTGGGACATTGCTGTGTGCAATTGGCTGCCGCGTTCGCCCACAAATATACAGTCAATTCACTTTACAGTGTGTTCTGTGAAGTGCTTTGGGACGTCCTCCCAACGTGAAAAGCGCTATTTCTAATGCAAGGATTATTATTATAATAATAATTAATATAATTATAATATTATTATAATACATTATACACAGTTTGCAAGCTCACAAGAAATTGGGGCTTAGTTCAGTGCTAGTATTGAACCTGTCAGGCAACCCTAAACTCCAAACCACCTGACAACTTTCAACAGACCACATAATAATAATAATCATCATAATATTAGTAATACTTGCACTTGATATGGAGCCTTATCACATTGTTGAGACGTCAAAGCCCTTCACAAAATATACTGTAATGTGAATTCACTGTATATCTTTGGGGCGAAACCCGGAAGCACACAGCAGTGTCCCACAAACAGTCGTGAATTGAGTGATCAAATTATTAATTGTTTGAGGAGATAACTATCCCCGGAAAAAATCTGCCAATCAACTAACAACCAGGTTCCTACTTACTGCTAAGTAAACAGAGACGTGTGGAGTAAGGAAACTTGCCTAAGGTTTCGTCCTGACCGGGAATCAAACCCGGGGTCTCTCGCTTGTGAGGCGAGTGCTCTAACCACTGAGCTACAAGACTCCACATGATGGGTTAAGGCTCCTGATTCTGAGTATTTTCCGAGTGTTAAAAATATAAATTAGCCATCACATTACAGACCTGTAAACCTCACATTTCTTCAGTATTTCCCTTGAGTTAGATAGTGGCTGTCGTGGAGAGTTAGCAAGACGCACACAAAATGTTCTGAATTCTCTTTTGTACGAAGACTAAAGTGTCTATGATTCCTTTGTCCAACCTCAGATCACTTCCGCTCTGAAACAGCAAGCAGACCCACCAGATTTCTGTCTCATAAATTTAAGCTGGTGATGTTGTGTCATTTTTAATTATTATACACCGGTTTACATGTTGTGCACTGTATACTTTTTGACACTGGGTTAATGTGGGTTGACCAGGATTAATTGTGAAACTGCTCTGCAGAACCAGTATTGCATTTTGTTTAAGCAGCTGTTTATTCTTCAACTAATATTGGTCACTTGTATATACAGAAACGTGCATTAATTTTGACTATAAAGCAACGCTTGACATACAAAGGATTAATTGAGTGCAGTGTTCTGAAATATTGTAATTAAAGTTTTTGCATTTTAAAGTAGACAATCTGTCAATTAGTCACATTATAGAATGTAATTATGTTTTCTCGCAAAAAGCAGCTCCTTCAGATTGAATAAATTTACATTTAAATAATAGTTTTAACCTTTAATCCTAAAGCTATTAATTTAAGTACCTTTAATTTACAATAGTCATTCTTTCTTGGCTTCATTATGAAACATTTATTATTATTATTATTATGAAGCATACCATATTTTCTGGTTTCCTTGGTATAATTACCTCATTGAAGCATTGTTCATTTGGATTATTTCTTATTGCAAATGTCAATTTCCTTGAAATGTCAATGAAATGTCGATGATAAAATACTGGGGATGGTATTTTCAAATCAAATGGAAGTGGATAAACCACATACTGTTCAGTGATCAGGAGTCCTGTAGCTCAGTGGTTGGAGCACTTGCCTCACAAGCGAGACCTGGGTTTGATTCCCGGCAGGGCCAAACCTTGGGCAAGTTTCCTTACTCCACACGCCTGATAATAATCCTTCAAAAAAAATAATAAAAATGGACACTTCAATCTATGACTGTTTGTGGGACGCTGCTGTGTGCAATTGGCTGCTGCGTTTCGCCCACAAACATACAGTCAATTCACTTTGCAGTCTATTCCGTGAAGCGCTTTGAGACGTCTCGAAGACGTGTTAAGGCGCTGTATCAAATGCAAGGATTATTATTATTATCTGGTAGTATTGATGAAAAGTTGTATTAATCCCTTCATAAAAAAATTGGTTACTCAATCCACGACTGTTTGTGGGACGCTGCTGTGCGCAATTGGCTGCCGGGTTTCACCCATAAAATACTCAGTGAATTCACTTCACAATATTTGCTGTGAAGCATTTTGAGACACTTCGAAGATGTGATAAGGGTCTATATGAAATGCAAGAATTATTATTATTATTTTATCTTACCTGGCATGTTCTTTATTGATTTTGTTTTCTGTGTGTGGCTTGTTTAGGTATGAGAAAGAACATAGAGAGGCCATGGATCTTCAATGCCAGATTCAGCACCTGAAACACAGTCTGGATGTCCAACAAGAATTTCACTGCAAGGTCAGAATGCTTCAGTCATGTCAAACTTGTATAATAATAATAATTAAATAACAATAACAATCATTTTATTTGATACAGCGCCTTATTGGGTCATTGAGATGTTTCAAAGTGCTTCATAGGATATATTATTCCATATATGATGATGATATATACATTGTATATGTATATATATATACACACTGTGAACAGGTAAGATGGATTTTCCAAATAGGGTGTTTCTGGACCTATTACGTATTTACACATAGAGTAAAAAAACTTCATGCTGACTTAGGAAGGCAGTAGGCTGGATACTGTGGATGAGATTAAATTGGCTGTGGGGCTTTTGCATCTAAATCTTTTTTAAACACAAGTACAAGTATGGAGTAGTTCATAATGAAAAATGTCTTGCTAGTTTTTCTTTCTCATTCAACAAGAAACTCTTATAAAGCCCAAGGGAAGTTGATTGAGATTCATTTAATTACCATATATGCTACCCAAACACTTCCAGTAACGAGGTTGCATGTATTATTATTTTAATGCAGTCATTAATTACTTTGAAAAGAACTGACGTTTAATGGGGAAAGAAATCCAATTTTCTTGGTATCCGGTAATCTACAAATACCAGGATCCAAGAGTAATTACACATCAGCAGTATTTTGAGGGGATGAGGCCACATCATAACCACAAGTGTAAATCTATGCAGTTTATATGTGTCGCCTAAAACTGTTAATGGTTTGGGATACACTGAGTGCAACTCTGTAATGATGGGTACAGAAAAGGAGTTTCTAATGATGGTCGTGAAATCAGCAGCAGAGATAAATGTGTCAATTCCCTTAATGAAAGTTCACTGCTACAAAACACGGCAGCCAATTGCGCACAGCAGTGTCCCACAAACAGTCGGGGATTGACTGACCAAATTATTATTTGTTTATTTATTTTGAAAAGCAATCCACCAATTGACTTACAACTGGGTTCCTACTTACTGCTGGTAAACAGAGGTGTGTGGAGTAAGGAAACTTGCCCAACATTTTGCCCTGCTCAGGAATTGAACCCGGGTCCTCTCGCTTGTGAGGCGAGTGCTCTAACCACTGAGCTACACAACTCCACAAAATAATAGGATAAAGCTACTTGGGTTATTTTTAAATAAATGCTCCAGGGAAGTCATAAAAAATGAAGACTTGCTGACTTTCAGTAAAAAATATTCTGACAGTGCATAGTTTCCCAGTGGGTATTTAGGCTTTTCTCTGAGATGAAAAGTTTAAAAATAGTGTTTGCAGGGAGAGCAGTGTGTGGCTATAATAAGCTCAGCATTAAAGTCCAGAGAGTTAGACTTGTAGTTCTGTGCTCTCATGTCATCTCATGTTATTTTGAATTGTTGTAACTCTACAAATGAGAGTAGAAAAACAAGGCAATGGCTTTTCTTTCAGTAACAGACGAGCAACAATTCTCTGTGATCAATAATAATTTGGTCACTCGGTCCATGACTGTTTGTGGGACGCTGTCGTGCACAATTGGCTGCCGCGTTTTATCCACAGAGTATACAGTCAAACCACTTTACAGTATATTGTGTGAAGCGCTTTGAGATGCTTGAAGATGTGATAAAGCGCTGTATCAAATGCAAGGATTATTATTATTAACATGGGGCTTGAATCCACAACCTTCTGACCCACAGGCAAGAATGCCAGGCTGAAACAAGCTAAACTGAGCTAAGCTTAGAACAAATATACCATGGAGCGTTTAGTCTTTCTGACTCCTTAAGACAGGGGGAAAAAAATAATTTTCTCACATGTCTGCCGGGCACACCCAAATGATGAACAGTCGTTTAGATTCCAGTGTGTAATGAACCTGAAGAAAAGCAGGTTGCTCTGGTTTTCCATTTAGTTGCGATTCCTGTTTAAGCTTCTGTCAGTGGGACCACTCTGCAAGTTAATGTAGTTGTCCATTCTATCCAGGTTATGCTGAGTTATGATAATAATCATAATAATCTTTGCATTTGATATCACGCCTTATCAGGTCATTGAGACGTCTCAAAGCGCTTCACAGAATCGCACGCGAGAAAACCTGGGTTCGTTTCCCGGGCAGAGCAAAACTTTAAGCAAGTTTCCTAACTCCACACGCCTGTTTACTTAACAATAAGTAGGAACCCGGTTGTTAGTCGATTGCCAGATCACTTGCCTGGGGTAATACTCCCTTAAAAAATTGTGGTCATTCAATCCATGACTGTTTGTGGGAACCTGGTTGGTAGTCGATTGGCCGATCGCTTTCCAGGGGTAATAATCCCTCAAAAAAATAATTTGGTCAATTAAACCACGGCTGTTTGTGGGACACTGCTGTGCACAATTGGCTGCCATGTTTCACCCACAAAACAATCAATCCACTTTACAATATACTCTGTGAAGCGCTTTGAGACATCTCAGCGATGTGATAAGGCGCTGTATCAAATGCAAGGATTATTATTATTACTATTATTATTACAATATGCGGTCATTGTTCGTTGAGCAGAGTGAAAGCCTGTTGTGAAGTAAACGTGCGTGTTTTATTTCAGGAAATTCAGAAAATGAGAGACAAAGTAGATGAATCAGAGATTTTGATCCAACGACTGGAGGAGAAACTGAGAAGAGACACCAGGTGCGACAGTGAAGCCATGGATTTAGTGAAGAGGATTCGAGACACTAATGAAGCTGAACTCATGCACTTTCAGGAACAGGCTGAAAAGGCCTACAATCAAAATGTAAGTTTTTGATCGTCATCAGGTGCTTTCTCTCTGGCTTGACACTGTTTAACTCAGAGCAAACATCTCGTAAACGGAGCATTTGGGTTTTTAATAATAATATTATCGTTAATAATCTTTGATTTGATTTTGCGCCTTATACAGTCACTGCAATTTACAATATATTCTGTGAAGCGCTTTGAGACGTCTAGAAAACGTGAAAAGTGCTATAGCAAATGCAAGGATTATTATTATTTATTATTATTATCACCTCTTCAAGATGTCTCAAAAGCGCTTCACAAAATTCACTGTAAAATGAATTAACTGTACATTTTGTGGGTGAAACATGGCAGACTATTGTGCATAGCAGCGTCCCACAAACAGCCGTGGATTGAGTGACCACAGTTTTATTTTTTTCCCCTCAAACAAAATATCAGACATGGATGAAAGCCAGAAGGCCTAAAAATACATAAGTTGCATCAGTTGGAACCTTACATTTAATGTGATTTATGTAAAGTATGAGTTATTCAATGGGACTTATGTAGATATACGAATTAGGTGATTATGTGGTTGATACAGATCAGACTTATGCGAGTTTTACAGTATACAGTTATTACAAACACATTTTTATTGTCATCTTTGTCAACCCAGATTACTAAAATGTAATAGTCCTCTTCATAAAGATTTACACGAGTTATTAATAAGAAAATTGGATTGAAATCAAGTTGTTCTCTAAATTAAATGAAGCATGTTTTTGCTTCAAGCAGCATTTATGAAACCAATTTCACTGCGTATTTTTCTCCCATAAATAGGTGATCATAATTGGAACTGGTTTATGTGAATTACAATTACATCATTGGTTTTCAAAATTTACACTTGACCTCCTTGTACCTCATTAATACTTAATAATAATAATAATAATAATAATGATAATAATAATCCTTGCATTTGATATAGTGCAGTATCACATCATTGAAACTATCAGGAAACAGTACTTTTTGTGAAGCGCTTTGAGATGTCTCGAAGACGTGATCAGGTGCTATATCAATTGTGAGGATTATTATTATTTGCATCGTTAGTAGTTTGTTAAACATTATTTATTCTGTGGTAATTTTGCATTTTACCTTCCTCCTTTTCTCTTCTATTTAAATCCCATTCCAGATTATTGATCTAACGGCGCGTCTTAATAAGGATCATGTGGAACTGCAGCAAATTCGAGATGAAAACAGGTGTCTCCGTCGGCATATTAATGATCTGACAGTAGAAGTCAAAACCCTGCAAAGCAAGGTGAGCAAGAACATGGGACACATCAGGTCAAACAGTCTCCTGCTTCTCTTATGTGTTCCCCACACTTCTCTATATTGTACAGACTAGAGAGAAACTTGCTCAAGTTTGGAGTCCTGTAGCTCAGTGGTTAGAGCACTCGCCTCGCAAGCGAGAGGATCTGGGTTCGATTCCCAGGCGGGCCGAAACATTAGGCAAGTTTCCTTACTCCACGCGCTTCTGTTTACCTAGGAGGTGTAAGTAGGAACTTAGTCTTGTTAGTCGATTGGCCGATCACTTTTCAGGGGTAACAATCCCTCAAAAAAAATGTGGTCAATCAATCCACGACTGTTTGTGGGACACTGCTGTGTGCTATTGGCTGCCATGTTTCACCGACAAAATACACCATCAATTTACTGTGAAGCACTTTGAGACATCTCAACATCTTGATAAGCTGCTATGTCAAATGCAAGGATTATTGTTATTAAATTGATGCAGTGAATAAATTAGCATTTTTGTCTGGTGCAGGAGCAGATATTAAGGTTGCAGCAACTTTGCTTTCTACGCTAGAGAAAATCAAAGGGAAGTTTGAAAGAGTTTATTAGTTTATTAGGAAAGTCCAAGAAAGGTCTATTTTGCCACTTAGCAAGAAATGTATTAAAATTTTTACTAACTAGGTCATCATTAATCATAAACTGAGGCCGGCTTTCAATCTGCCTCACCAGAAATCATTGCAAAATACATCTGTAATTCAGTGACCCCGATAATTTTTTTTTGTACTGAGAACATTAGAATGTAGGAATCAGAATGGTTATTCTTTCCACTTAACCTGCTTTGCCAGATCGCACCAGCTTTTAAAACTATTATTAATAGGTGTCACAGCCTGGATCATTTGGTAGCACTCTTGCCTCTGAGGCAGTAGGTTGTGGATTCAAGCCCCAAGTCAGGACTTTGAGTTTATAGTCCAGGATAACACTCCAATGCAGTGCCTCTCCTAACAGAAGCATAAGCCATCACTGGGGAGAAATTCTAGCTTTACTTTATTGATGTAACATTTCAGAACATGCAACTGGGATCCTACTCACTGCTCGTAAACAGAGGCGTGTGGAGTAAAGAAACTCGCCTAAGGTTTTGCCCTACGGGGAATCAAACCCAGATCTCTCGCTTGCGAGGCGAGCGCTCTAACCACTGAGCTACAGGACTCCAAGTCCTGTATTATTAGTCGATTGACGGATTGCTTTCCAGGGGGTAATGATACATAAAAAAAATTAGTCACTCATTTCCACGAATGTTTGTGGGACACTGCTGTGCGCAATTGGCTGCCGTGTTTCACCCACAAATTATGCAGTCAATTCATTTACAATATATTCTGTGCGGCACTTTGAGATATCTCAATGATGTGATAAGGCGCTAAATCAAATGCAATGATTATTATTAAAATTTGGCAAATTCTTAAATACAATAGATTCGTAGAGTAATACAAATCTAGACCCAGATGGAATTTCTCCCTATAAATGCCTTGGATTATCCAGAGTGACCCAGTTGTGTTGTGAAAAGCCTCTCCAGTGAGGGAAAACAAGAAATAGTTCAGAGGCAGAACATTCCCAGCATCCACAGCCCTGGGGATAGAGTTATATTAATAGTAAAGTAAAGGACCTATAGATATGACAGAGTGCTTTAACTGACTGGATGGATGCTGCGATAATATTGCTTCCGTAACATCCCATTGCTTTATCACTTAAAGAAACAGCAGCTAATCCTACAGTCCATCACACCACTGAATCAGTACAGATGTGTGAAACAAAAGGAAAATAACAAAAACTTGTATTTACACACGCTCTTCACACAGGGCAGCGTCTCAGGCGGAGCCTGACTCCAAGCCGGGGGGAGGGAGAAGGTGACCGTGAGCGCGGTCGAAGAGAAAGATCTTCAGTCGTGATCTGAAAGAGGGGAAGGAGGGGGCGAGGCAGAGGGACTGGGGCAGAGAGTTCCAAAGCTTCAGGGAGTAGTGGCTGAAAGCACTAAATAAATAATGAAAACAGAAAAAGATGCAGCGGAAACAAAGAGTAGAGAAAAACAACAGATTAATGTTACTTAAAACAAACACAATGGCAGAATTAGATTCACAGCGATGCAGGTGGGGAGTGACATTTCGCATAACTCTTTCAAAGAACCAGCACAGGCTCAATGGGCTGAATGGCCTCCTTCTGTGCTGTAAGAGTGCGGGGGAGTGGGGTTGATCAGGGCTATGGGGAGAGTGCGGGGGAGTGGGGTTGATCAGGGCTATGGGGAGAGTGCGGGGGAGTGGGGTTGATCAGGGCTATGGGGAGAGAGCGGGGGAGTGGGGTGGATCAGGGCTATGGGGAGAGAGTGGGGTTGATCAGGGCTATGGGGAGAGAGTGGGGGAGTGGGGTTGATCAGGGCTATGGGGAGATAGCGGGGGAGTGGGGTTGATCAGGGCTATGGGGAGATAGCGGGGGAGTGGGGTTGATCAGGGCTATGGGGAGAGAGCGGGGGAGTGGGGTTGATTTGGAAGCTCTTTCCCTAGAACCAACGCAGACACGATGGGCTGAATGAGCTCCTCTGTGCTGTATAATTCTATGATTCTATAATCTTTAAATACTCCCACAGATGATTAATGGGGCAGCAGTGTTGCCTCTTGCTGAACTACAGCCAGTCAAAGCCATTTGTCACATCAATGTGGCAGGCAACAGAGACTCACATATTTTTTCTAGCAGACATGTCCACTCACAAACTATCCACCATCAAGACTTTCATGTCACAGATGACCCTTGTGAACCAGTTTGCCACACAAGTAATGGCATCTGCAAATTTCAGGAGCACATGATATTGTGCAGATAGAATGTGGGCTGATTGATGTCTGTTCCCACTCATTTTAACATTGGAAATCTCAGCATTTTCTCTCTTTGTTTTTCTTTGTTACATTATGGTTACAGATGCTGAATTGCCTACATTTAAAGGAAGCTGTCATCGTGAGATCAAATAGGTTTGATGTTACCTTGTTGGCCTGTGCTCCTGGACCAATATTATTGCATGTGAAAGACATAGTAAAGTTGGTCCTAACTTCAGACCACTGAAGGCATTGTGGCCAGTCTAACTTCAGTACATTGCTATACTCCAAAGTTGATTTCTTGTCAGGGAGACAGAATCTTACAGCACAGAAGGAGGCCATTCGGCCCATTGTGCCTGTGCTGGCTCTGTGAAAGAGCTACCATCCAGTCCCACTCCCCTGCTCTTACCACAAACATAGCCCTGCAAATTCTTCCTGTTCAAGTACCTATCCATTCCCCCTTTGAAAGCAATCATTGAATCTGTTTCCACCAGCCTTTCACGCAGTGCATTCCAGACGGTAATTCCTGGGTAAAAACATTTCTCCTAGTCTGGTCTCCCCTCTGGCTCTTTTGCCAATTATCTTAAATCTGTGTCCTCTGGTTACCGACCCACCATGTTCTCTGAGGAAACACAGCCTGAACATTGTTGTGAGTCTGGATTAACACAATTTATGTTGTTGGAATTATAGTATTTTTCTTCTAATTAGCACCACCATCTCAGACCTAAATAGTCATTAAAGGAAGTTGTAACGATTACACAGGGTTTGAACAAATGGTCTAACTTTAGGGCTGAGTCCACAGAGTTTATGTCTATAAGAGTAACATGCTCTCTTGAGTTACAAATAGTAACTGCTATGGGTTGGTAATTACATCCTATTTACACTGGAAAAATGAGACCTAAAGATGTCTAAAAACTGGTAGAAAACTGAGAAAACTTTGCCCTTAATGTTTGTATTCTATAGAGCCTATATTGGTGCAGTTTAATCTGGTTTTATTAAACAGAGAAAGTTTTTCATTTAGGAACATAAGTATGATTTCCTAGATGAAAGAAGACCAAGGACCATCCAATTCGCCTTCCACTATCTTGGCAAGCGCATGAACAAGTCATGTCCCAAACTATATACTGTATCCCCAGATATTATTTCCTAAAAGGAAAAGCACCTTGAATCATCCTCCTGACGTGAAAGGCATTGTATATTATTGTTTGCATAGCTCTTTTAATGGATATGTTGGGGAGAAAAAAAGAGGATCCAAACTTGGCAGATTTATTAAATGATTCCTCTCAACGGTTTTTACTAATGGAAACTGTGGACAAATTGCAGATCTAGTTATTTCGGCACAAGATTCTGCAACCCAAGCAATCATTAATGAATATAATAATATTATTATTATTATTAGTGAATCATCTGCTACCTAGAAACATCTTGTGGATCTCAGCAATGAACTGCAGGGTAGCACTGTAATCACAACACGCTTCAGTTTGATGTTTTGGGTTAGTAAAGGCATACACTGCTAATCGGTGGTTCAATGCCACAGATTGTGAGCTGAAAGTCCAATCCAATGCACAGCACAAAAGGTTCCTCAGCAGAACTATTATGTGGAATGTCAGAGTAAAGGCAAACTCAGGGACGAGCTGGTGAGTAAATATCATACGGTTGCTAACTTCAATGCGTGCATGTCTTGGTGGCTAACACATCACAACTTTACCCCATTGTGAGTTATCATGAAAGGTAAGATAACATCATCAAAAATCAGGCTTATGTACAAGAAAAAATTGCAGGATTTTGAGCTACCGCTCAATTATATATTAATCATAGGACTTGAAGATTTACCAGCATCGTTCTCAACTTTGTTGGTCTGAGTTCAAGAGACCATTTGTTCTGGTTCATAACAACATGATTTTCCCCCTCTTATAGCTTCTCTACGAAGAGGAAACCAAGATAGCTTTCATTGAAAAAATGACTTGCGAACATCAAAGGAATCAACAACATATACAGATACTGAAGACGAGGCTCGAGGTCAGTCCTGTATCATTTCATTGTTACATTCACTGTTGGAAAGAAACATTTAGAGTGAAGAAACAAGACTTTCATTTACATCACAAATGGAGGAAATTGGCCAATTGTTTACCGTTTTGCTCAAAAAATACATTTAATCCACTGACAATACGTTCTGTGGAGCTTTGAGACGTCTCGACAAAATAAGGCGCTGTATCAAATACAAGGATTATTATTATTATTATTATTATCACCAGTTTGTAATAATAACACTTTGTTACAAGGGACTTTGAGGTTACTGTTAGCTTTGAGTTTAAATACATTGTTCATTCATGAAACCTTTTGGTCATTTAAAATAAATTGAGACTGAACAATAAGGAAAATAAAACCGTGTCTGTCGTTATGTAGCGATTGTCAGTGTTGATTTATTGTAGGTTGTGTCTGTCTGGCTGTGCATTCATGTTATTTTTCTGGTGCTCACTTCTCAGGAAATGCAAGATCTTGTCTTGGCCAAAATGAAAGAGCTTAGTTCTCAAGACAAGTCTCCCTGCTTACAAGGGGACATCGAATCCATAACAGCTGTGCTTGATGATGAAGAAAAAAAGTAAGCATTGAGATAGTGCATAAATACTTATTAAGTTGATGTTTAGGATTTGCACTTCTATTGACTGTTCACTTTAGAGTGTATTCTGTGAAGCGTTTTGAGATGCTCAGGGACACTACCCTGTGTGAAGGGCGCTATATAAATGCAAGTTGTCGTTGTTATTGAGACGTCTCAACAACATGATAAGGTGCTATATCAAATGGAAGGATTATTATTATTGTTATTATTATTATTAGCCCGTGTTAGACCACTTTTAATTTAGCGCACATTGTGTATCATATTCACTATAATTTTAACACCAAAGGAATCAGTGACATTACATTTATTCTGTTTTTGGAATAGAATTCGGGAGAGTCAAGTTCAGTGCTGCCTCAGGAAGTCTTCGGCGAATGCTAGGAACCGTTTCCCTGTTAGCTGCATTCCTTTGAACTTACTGCACTGTCCACTGCCAACATGTCAGACCCCGTGCACTTCTACGAGTCAACCCTTGTGCCCGCCCGTCTCTGGGCTGAGCTCATGTACCACACCAAGTCATCCCCTAGCGCCACCAGTCGCTGGGCTGAGCTCCTGCAATTCTGCAAGCCAACCACCTCCTTGTTTATCCTCATGTACTCCTCCTCGCCAACCTCTGTGTCCACCAGTTCCGTGTCTGTCCTCGTGCCCTCCGACCAGCCAGCCTCTCTGTCCCTCAGCCCCTTGTCTGACTTCCTGCACCTCTACAAGCCAACCATTCTACCCGGCAGCTCCAATCCAGATGTCATGTGCGTCTGCAAACCATTCGCACAGTTTGTCTACTGGTTTGGCCTCGTGTGGTGTTGCAAATTCCCTGTGTTGTCCACATAGTTCTAGTCTGGCCTCGTGTAGTTCTGGGAGTGATCCCCATTATACAATGGCCCCGACAATGTACAAAGCGTCTACAAGTTCAGCTCAACCGTGTTCATGTACTGCACCTCCAGAGGTGCATTCCAAACCTTGCCAAACAGCCGGGCTGCAGAAGATCGGGCATGAAAACTGTGTAGGTAAGAAAATGAAGACTGGACTAGACACACAGCTGCCTCTTTTGAAGCTAAAAGCTATGTTTTTAACTCGTCGATCGTATAGTTAGTTACTTGTCAGATATATAAAAATGCAATAGTTTATAACATTAAATTTACCATGTTTTAATATGTTCTGTTTTGAATTAGTTAAGAAATATTCAAATGTGAACGTACTATGGTAATATTGTCTAAACAGTTTGTGAATTAACCTATTTCCTGTGCCCCTCACTGTATTCATAAATAGTAATCATTTCCGGTTACATTTACTCTTTACAAGGCTGTCATTGGTAGCCAGACAAATTGTATGTTTTACATTACTTCAGCTAATGTATCGTTTTATCATAAAAATGTTTCAGCAGTGGTTTTATGTTATATCAAACACATGTGCATTGACATTTAGTTATACTTGTAAGAACCTAAGCCATGTACAAAGCACAGAAAACCAATAAACTATATAAGACCTGAGGCTATTGGGCGCATCTATTCTGATATGTCTTCTTCTACAGCACATTGTTCTGATGATGAGACAAAGAGACACTGTTCAAGACCTTCGTCCCATTCTGTAGACAACAAAATAGGCCAAGGGAGAGACTATTTCAACACTATGTTTAAGGAACTGAAGAAGGACAGCTTATACAGCAAGTGCCCTGGTTACAAATTCTCTCCCACTACGTGTGAGCAAAACAGACCTTCCACCAGGTAAAACCCACTTACACACTGGTCTTTATGTAACAAAGATAAGTTATTGGCCCATTTTGTTGAACTGACATGTGATCTTCATGCTGTGAACACTGTTTTTCCTCAATGTATCATGGAGAAAGTTCTGCTAAGGAGCTGTATGATGAATGAAATTAAGAAACTCCTGACATATTCGTAAAATGTTATGATCGTTGTATAACAATTGTGTTTTGGACTGAGCGAGCAGAGAAATCAGTCAGGGTTCCCAATCCTGATCATTATCCTATGACCCCATACTGCAACTGCCCATGTGTGGACATTGAAGAAGAGAGAATATTGTATTAGGTTTGTCCTCCATGTCAAGGACACAGACACGCACACACACACACGCATATATATATCCATATATTAAAAAAAACTTCAGGCTTGTGTTATCGATGGTAGGAGAGCGCTTGCCTCACAAGCGAGAGGACCTGGGTTTGATTCCCGGACAGGGTGAAACATTGGGCAAGTTTCTTATTCCACATGCCTCTGTTTACCCGGCAGTGGGTAGGAAATCGGTTGTTAGTTGATTGGCGGATCGCTTTTCCGGGAGTAATATTCCCTTTAAAATAAATAAATAATAATTTGGTCACCCAATCCACGGCTGTTTGTGGGACGCTGCTGTGCGCAATTGGCTGCCGCGTTTCCCCCACAAAATATACAGTCAATTCATTTTACAGTGTGTTTACACTCCTCGCTGGTCTCCCCAGCTCCTCTATTCAAAAGATCAGCTCATTCAAAATTCTGCCGCCCGCATACTGACCCGCACCAAACTCTCACACCTGGGCCAGAACTCACCAGCCACCTCCTCCCCTCCGGCTCGGAGTTAGGCTCCACCACTTAAGCACTCTGCGACGCTGCCCTGTGTGGAGGGCGCTATATTAGTGAACGTTGTTGTTGTTGTATGTCTGTGAATTGGCATCGTACTTTAAGAGTATCCAAACTCACTCTTTGGATGAAATTTCTTGTTGCGTTAAATCTAGTGGCACGACAATTCTCATCAACTTACATGTGTTTGTCCGCTAAGATTAAACATATCAATGGATTTCAACAGCTAATGACATATTACATAGCCAGTGGGAGAGGTTATCAGTTAGGAAGTATTGTAGTGCATTTCTAAGGTGCAATAAAAAAGGAAGGAATTTTTAAAAAAATACATAAAATAAAAGTATTGAAGGACAGATCAATAGATAAATAGAATAACGCAACCAGGAGAAGATCAAACATCACATAGTGAAAAAGAACAATCTCGCAGCTGACAAACCAATCACGGAATGGAAATAATTTGTGTAGAAGTGTGTATAACAAGTGTAGAAGTCAATGTTATTTGTGTCAAGATTTTTTTATATAAGAAAACATTTTCTTCCTATCCATTTCATGTGATGTTTTCTTTCCTGCCATCCTACCTATTGTATTTATGTTTTGCCTCCTCCTGTGTCTCTATTTTCATTACTAATTCACTCCTTTTATAGTACAATACAGAATTACATTTACATACCGCTTTTCATGTCGGGAGGACGTCCCAAGGCGCTGGACAGCCAGGGATTTAGACCTGAGCTGGGGGTTGGGAACAGTGAGGGTGGAGGGCAGAAAGGTAGGAGGGTGACCGAAGGCAAGGTCAAAGAGGAGGGTTTTGAGATGCGCCTTGAAGGAGGCGAGGGAGGGGTTGAGGTGAAGGGACTGTAGGATGGAGTTCCAAAGGGTGGGGGCAGAGAGGCTAAAGGCCCGACCGCCGATGGTGGGGCGACTGAGCGGGAGACTTGGAGGGAGCGGACAGGTTGAGGTGGGGTCAGCAGGTCGCAGAGGTAGGAAGGAGCAAGGCCGGAGAGCCGTGAAGGTGAGGATGAGGATTTTGAACTTTATCTTATTGTCAGAAGTGAATGCTGTTAGTCGCCGACGTGGTCAGTTACGTTAATTCCATTTGTTTCCTATTTAATGTTGAGATGCTAAAGCTGGTGGAAGGAATCCTAGAACAGTGGAGGGTGGGAGGGGGGNATTTCTGAGCATCAAGGGAGCTACGAGAGGGTATGCTGGATCCGTTGAAATTTTAAAGGCTGAGGTGGATAGATTTCTGTGGTCAGAATATCAAGGGGTACGGGGGTACGGGGCAAAGGCAGGTGATTGGAGTTGAGGTACAGATTCACCATGATCTCATAGAATGGCGGAACAGGCTCGAGGGGCTGAATGGCCTATCCCTGTTCCGATGTAATCCCTGGAGATTGAGAGGCTGGAGGAGGAAATCCCAGAATGTTGGGAGAGTACAGGAGAGATTCCATTAATTGCATTTTTTTCCAATTCCTCATAAGGTGTGGATCCTCTTCAAAGCAAATTCAGAAGAGGTGTAAACCGAGGAATACATTACGATGAATATTTAGTGCACACTCCTCCCATTTAATTGGATATCTTCCTGGCCACAGCAATCAGATTGGAGGCTTGGGTTTGTCTGCTTCTTTCTGCTCCTATAAGAAATTCTGAAGTGAGAAAAGATTATCCTAATCCAACAGACTATGCCATCTTGCACTGTCATGAACTTTTGCCCAATAGCTCCTTTGATTTCCTGAGGGAGATGAATAGCCACAAGTGAAACTTCCAGGTAGCTAAAACTCTGAGATGTCTCCCTGACTACTGAAGGTGATCGGACACAAACATTCCTACGTATTAAACTGTCCCCTATTTACTGAGAAGTGTGATCTGGAAACCATTAGAGAATAAAACAGTGCAGTCTTTAAACGTGGGTCGATATCAATGGTGTACAGAGAGAGAGAGATTGCCCAAAGTGGAAAACAAACCTGAAGCAAGCACTGTTGACAGAGGTTACACACACAGGTGTTTGTGGGTTTTACGCATGTTTCTTGACATTTCATTCAAACAATCTTCAATCCACTAATTTGTTTAGGTTCTACAATTCATATAAAGCTATTCCTGCACTCCTTTATCGCTAGGTAGGTAAACACAGCATCTGGTGTAACATCAAGCCATTGATAAGGCACTTTATCAAATGGAATAATTATTATTATTATTACCAACCAGACAGGTTTGGGTTCCTGGTATGTGTTGAGTGGTTTGGGTGGGTCCAACCTTTTGGCTGCTGAGGGCTGGATGCCCCACTTGAGAAACATCCGTGGGTCGCAGAAACAGTATATTTGTGTTTCTCTTCCAGAAACATAACATAACATTTATAGCTTATGGATCAAATGGAGGGAGGGGGAGCTGAACAAGGCTGGATAATTATGAGCTGTGAACAATGGTTGGAAAAGCTAGAGCTCTTAAGTCTTGAGAGAAGAAATCTTAAAGTGGACCGTTTTAGAGCTGTGTAAAATATTAAATGGCATTGGAAAAGCAAACCCAGAACAATACTTTAGGAAGACAGTAGAACAAGAGGACGTAGGTTTAGAGTTGCAAAGGGCAATTTCAGGACAGACAACAGGATGTTGCTTACCCTATAGATGCAAACAAAACGTTTCATTAAAACACAGCAAAAGCATATCATGGATGATACACATAGCTTATTAATTATTATTATTATTATTATGTACATAGCTTAACTACATCCCTTGGTGCAAATCACATTGGTACCAAGCCACAACTTATCCTGGACACAGCATACCTGTTTAGGTTCTTAAATTGTAGAGTCCCATAGCGTAGCGGCCTATATCAAATGCAAAGTTTACTTTTCTTATTATCATGAATCATTGTTGCAACACTTCACCCTCAAGTGCGCTGGAACAATCAGCGCACTGATGAAAATTAGTTGCATCTACATTTCTGCCAGGTTAGCTAAAATCAGGTCTGCGCTGGCACAAAGGAATAGGTAAAGACCCACAAGTGTAATCGCTCAAAAACATTTGTGTACATTTGACAAAAATGTTCAGATTTTGAAAGATCTAAACACCGCCCCCACCCCACGCGTTGGGAAAGCTTACCAGGTAGCAATATCAATGGCCAAGCTGAGTGGTTTGATCTGGTTAGACTCCAGCAGTTACCCCAACTCACACTCTGGGCTCCCCCCAAGCCTTGGCTCTCGCCAACCTGCGCCTAATACTCTCTGGAATTAAGTAAACAGGATGTGTCCCTCCGGGGAGAGAGAGAGAGAGAGAGGAGAGAGAGCGCATTCCATTCCGACAATCTCTCTCTGGGATTTCCAGGTGTAGTTGGGATGTGGGGAATTCTCAGCTTGGTTTGGAGACTCTTAAGCAATGGTGGTGGGTTTCCGCAGGTGTCAGACACCCGGCTGAACAAAATAAAGTTGGTTTCAGCCAAGTGTCTGACACGGTGCCATGTCCTCTGTACAGCAGCACGTTAAACAGTCCTATTCCAACTTATTTGCTTATTTAGGAAAAGTAAAATTATTGATGAGGCTGCGATGAAAGTCAACCTAACCTGTGCTTAGGAAATGACACAGGGAATCAGCAGGCAGCGGGAAGCAAGTGGTTTTGCTAAGCTGTTGCCAATGAGACGTCAAGCCCAGGAGAGATACTGCAGCCTTGCAAAGGAAATAATGAATATCTCAGCCTCGCGATCAGAAAACAGAGGACAGAGCCGTCTTCACTCAATGCTAGAGATGGTTTAGATGTGGTTGGCAGATAATGTGTTGCCACTTATTAAAAGTTGGCATTGTAATCGGAGACAACACAAGCTATTTTAGCCCCTGCTTTAAAATACTATAAATCGCACGTTTCAATTTGAAGAAAGGCGACTGCTTCAACTAAAGATAAGTATGTTCGACTTTTCATTTCATTTTGAGTAAGGAATGTCAGACATTTTTCTTCAGTAGAAATTGACAGTAAACTGTGCAGACATTAAGTGAAGGCAAACAAACGGACGAACACACTCCCAGAGAGTTGCAAGATGCTTGTGATTTCCTTCCGTACTCTCAGCGCCTGTGTATTTCTGTGTCAATCGGTGGTCACATTTGCCCACGCAAAGTTACAGTCAAACCACTTGACAGTAAATCCTGTGAAGTGTGTTGAGACGTCCCAATGACGTGATAAGGCGCTGTATCAAATGCAAGGATTATTATTCTTAAAATCCTTGTGTAAATTCAAATGAACAAAACTTGTGGAAACATGCACAATCAGAGTCAAGCTGTTTGTACTTACCCAGACCTGAAAGGAACACAAAAGGTGATGTTTAACATGATGTATTTTCCCGATAGTTGACTTTGGAAGTTTTTTTTTACTTACTGAGAAAATATTTCTATTAACTCTATTAACGCTTTATTGCAGCACAATAGGAAACGTCAAAATAATCGAAGTATCCTCAAGTGGCCACTTTGTGCGGATCTTAAACAATTCCTGTGACAAGGAGGAAGATATTGGCAACTTTATTGTACAGCAGAATGTTGGTGGGCACCCTGTCTTAGTCTATAGATTTCCCCCGAGGACCCGACTAAAACCTGGCAGAAGTGCAACGGTAGTGGAAATAATCTCTCTATTTATACTAATAATCCTTGCATTTGATACGGCGCCTTATCACGTCGTTAAGACGTCTCAAAGCGCTTCACAGAATATAGTGTAAAGTGAATTGACTGTATTTTGGGGAGAAACGCGGCAGCCAATTACACACAGCAGCGTCCCACAAACAGTCGTGGATTGAGTGACTACATTATTTATTTATAGGGATTATTATCCCCAGAAAGCGATCTACAAATTGACTGACAACCGGGTTCCTATTTACTGCTAGGTAAACAGAGGCATGTGGAATAAGGAAACTTGCCTAAGGTTTTGCCCTGCCCTGTGCAAGGATTATTATATTACTCATTATCTTTGAGCTATTATTTTATTCTAATTGTACAACTTTTTTTGCTTTGTCTAATATAACATGCCACTTTGGTTTGTAGGTATGGGCAGCTATAGCCAAAATCCCTCATAATCCTCCGACAGATTTTTTATGGAAAGAGCAACATAAATTTGGAACAGGTCCAGAATGTACAACCATCTTGTGCAGCCCTAATGGGCAGGTAAGTGTTCAGCATCTTAACGTGAATCATTTTAATATCAATATAGAGTAAAAGTAGCATAAGTCTGATCTGTATAAATCGTATATGCATCCAAGTCATAGCTTCCCACGTCCCATTCAAGAGTTTATATTCTGTGTAAATTTGACATAATTCACACTTCCGTCATAAGTCATATTAAATATATGGTCCCAACTGATACGACTTGTGTGTGGTTTACTG